TTTTTTTTTTTTTTTCAATTGCCGGATTGAAGAAGCGATTTGTTTTGTTCGAGCTTGAGCTGAGCTCCTACTGGGTTGCCCCCCCTTTTTGAACTTGGCCAGCGCTCACAAGTGGCGTGAAGTTTCTTAACGAAGGTAATGCGGTTTGTACGGACGACTGAGGAGCAGAGTTTTGGTGGTATGGGACGCCATCGCCATACGAGGGGAGAAGAGGAATGCGCAGGGTGGGAGAAATCTGTATACGATGTTGATTTCAGGCAGATTTGCAGAAAAGGTAAGACTACCAATCGGAATTCTTGCTTGGCCATAGTGAATTTTGGGCAGCTAGGATACTGCATAGCGACGATGGTCAAACGTACTTGGGGGGACGGGGCGGGGCAAAGGAAGGGCGCAGCAACAGCTTCAAAAAGCTTATGGAACAGCAAAGAAGCGTTGCAAATTGCGCCATGATGGCTCGGCTTTGCTAGGGAGAGACAGAAAAGTCTGCAGGGGCTGAATGCTGCGTTCCTGCAAACATCTGTCAAATCAGCTGCATCATGACATTCTTTGGTCGCTTCTTTAGCCCCTCCCTCACAATAGCGCTTTTTGCCTGCAAAGAAAAGAAAAAAGATTTTCCCACTGGAACACAAGGCGTGCTGGGGTAGCAACGCCCCCAAGTGAGGACGCGCGGCGCTGCAATTGTTTGGGGTGAGGCCAAGAAGAGCGCAGAGGCTTGATAAGAGAAGACGCGAAGCTGGCCTTTGCTCCACTCTGACCACGATCACCATCAAAGGCCTCTCTCTACCAAGTTCAGACTCAAGAGTGCCTCCTCCAGGCCCAGGCCAGAATCTCAAACTTTGACCTGCTTGCTGCAGGCTCAAAGTCTTGCAAAGCTCTGTTCAAAGCTGTACAAATCCTTGCTGCAGTCCCTGCGCTCCCACTACCAAGGTCATCTCGATAGCATTGCTGGCGCCCTGTCCCACAACCAAGCCAAGGCACGCACCAAGCCCTCGTGGAACCTGTTGAACGTACTCGCTTTCAGCCATGTATGAGCGATGCCGATGCCTGAAAAGATTTCACTGGCCATACATGGGATCGTCTTGGTTGATGTTGGTGCAAGAAACCCAAGACATGACATCCTTCTTACACCGCTGACCTGACACCCTCTTCTTTTCCCTCCCCAATCATCACCCGCATCATCTTGCTCTTGCAAGCTCTCTACACTCCTCCTCCTCCTCCAAGCACCTTCTCAAAGTGACTCTTGTCAAAGTGCGCAGAGCATGTTATCAGAAAATCGAATCAGTGACTTGACATGTTGGTGACGTGACGTGCCAACTCACGCTGGACTATTCCGATGAGACACTCGTGGTACGTGCAGTTGCAGTTGCAGTTGCTTGCTTGCTTGCTGGCGCTCTGGCATGCGCAGCTTGGTGTTGCACGAACGACATACCACGATCACGAGGGAACTTTTTCCGCTCGTGCGAACTCATGCTCACACCGCTCTCACACGCCAGCCTTCATTCTTCATTCTACGTACACACAAAACCCCTTCCTCCAACCTCATCGGGACACGGGCAACTTTTTACACCAAAAATCTCCTTTTCCATTCTGCTCGAGCAGCAGCACCACAACGTCTACTGCGGCCTGCCCAGACCGCACATTCCAAATCGAACGCTTTCGTGCCACGCCGCCGCTCCCCTCACGTCCACTCATGCTCACGCGAAGGGCGCGCGGGGCGGGGCGTAGGGCGTATAGATCAATAGCAAGACGTGCAATGCGCGGGGCGGGCATGGAATTTTGCTGCTGCTGCTTTGCGATCTTCTCCCTACTTGGCGACGTGCTCGGCTCTAAGAACAAGAGCGCCAAAAGACTTGCGAAAGCAAGCCTTGAAGTCGTCTTACCCCCGCGCGACTTGCCAAGCCCGCCATCCGATGCACGGAGAAAAGAACAAGAGGATTTTTTTTTTTTGCGCCCACACCCACTCAAGGTTGAGCTTTCCAATACACCGCCATGCACGTATCGCCCGCCGTGATGGCCTCTTCCACCAGCACATTCCTCTTCACCTTTTGCTTCTCCTTCCTCTGCTTCTTGTCCTGCTTGGAGGACGCTACCTGCGACGCACCAGACACATGCCCCTCCGACGCCTCGTCCCGCAATCGCGTCGACGAGTCCGAGTCCGAGTCCGAGTCCACATTGGAGACGTTGCCTACGCGCGAAGAAGTCTTTGTTGTCGAGCATAGCTGCAGACGATTATGCTGCGTTGCGATATGGGCGGTGGGAAATTTCCGCACTTGCATGAGCTTATTGCGCCCTCGTCATGCTCGTGGCCGCACCCAGCTCGAGCGAGCATCATCTCCCACACGCGCAACTCACAGGCATATGCGTCAACGCTCCGCTATTCACATCCTCCTCCGCCAACCTTTTCCTCTCCTTTTCCCTTGCTCCCGCACCGCTCCATCCTGACTGCTGTTCCTGCGCCGGCAGAACAGGTCTAGGCAAAGGGTGCAGATGCACCGGCACGTTCAGATTGTTTCTCCTTCCCGTACCCAACTGAAAGGCGGAATTGTGTCCCCACACCATCACATCCCTTCCGAATGCCGTGTGCGTGGGAACGCTGCCGGAGTGGGAGGAAGAGGAAGAGGAGACGCTGGAGTCTACCGTGTCGAGTACCAGGGCTACGTGTCCTGGCGCTCCTGCGGCAATCTGCGCGCGCGAGTCAAAAGGAGAGTCGGGAGGAGAAGAGAGTTCATGTCAGTGCAAAGCTAAGCTAAACGACGCAAGAGAATTACCCCTCCAGCTCGGCGTGGCGCGAGCGACAAGACTCACATGATGAATAGGTACCGCATGCGTCTGTCCCGAGAATTCCGAATCTGTTGGCGCGAGCATTTCAAAAGGGGGAAAGAAGAAAAAGGCAGGCTCGTCTGGTCAGCGTGGTTCATTGGATACTGCACCTATCCACCCAGCTCTTTGCTCAATCACTGCGCACTCCATCTTCATCATCGAGCAGGACCTAGCAACCTGCTCTCGCTCACAGCGCGCGCGGGCATGAGCCTGCAGCCTAAACTCACATTCCAAAAGTCCACTGACAGTCTTGACCCGACTAGGCGCACTGACATGCGGCCACATGGCATTTCCCAACGTTCCCCATTGTCCCTTGCCGCACGCGATCACTTCT